GAAGGGGAGAGTGAATGACGTCTTTGCAGCGGTCACTTCTTTAAGCTCTGCACAGTCACAGAAGCGTCTGTATGTAGACACACACTCACAGAGCACCCACATATCCGGAGCTACTTCCATAGCCGGGTGAGCAGGGCAGGCTGGTGAGTACCCACCAGGAGGGCTGGCCTGGGCTGGCTTGTCTCAAATGGTGGTACTGGAGAATCAGGACCACCTGGGTTGGTAGCAAGCTACAGGCAGGGAGTACTGTAACCTTGGGAACACCATCACCTACCCTCCTACCAAACACTGGCAAACCCTGTGTCCTTCAGGCAGGGACTGCAGATTGTGTGGCTCCCTTCTCACATGCTGTTGGATGCCACATCTTGTCACAGATGCTCCAACCTTGGAAGCCAGGTCCAAAGTCTCTATCTAGCAGGGTCTCCAGTCTACTTTCTGCCCAAGGGCTCTCCTTCTGGCTCAGCAGGATGGGGTAAGGCCTGAGGTTCCCTATTTCTAGCAAATTCCAAGTGCGATTGATGCCACTGGTCCAAGGGAAGGAATGTGGCAGTGGTGGTTGGGGGGTAGAATTCTAGTGCCCAATTCTGAAACCCAGTGTTTGCCACCCAGGGCACCTTATATGCAGCCCCCACCGATCTGTTAGTGGAGGCTTGAGTGTTGCTAGGATGCTGACCAGGTTTCAGCAGAGCTTCCAGACTAAGACAGATAGACTAGGAAGAAAGGTCGGGTGATCGATTTCCCAAAAACTCAGCCAATGAAAACCCTCTAAATGGCAACAAATGGTGTCTGATATACAAGGACGCTTCACAAAGGTCATGGACAAATGGAATTAAAAGAGAAGGGAACTTCTCCACGAGCTTTTTGAAGCCCCCTCGTAGCTCTGTAAGAAGACCTAGGGTGGCAGACATGTAAATCCCCAGGAGCTGTAACACTGGACTGAAACTAACCAATGATCATGAAGGTGGCACAGGGTCAGGCCAACGTTTGGTTTATGCTTGGGGTTCACCTGGAGCCAGGGCTGACTCCACAGCAGCTAACAACAGGTTATGAAAAAGTAACCACCCCAGAAGTAAAAAAGCATCAGCTTCTTTCTTTTACCTAAAATGTAATTGTCCCAACAGATCTCCTCCAAATTAAAAAAGGCAGTTTCCACTTAAAACCATACAGCTACCACTCATCTGTCAGTTTGTCATACTGTGGTGGCTCATGAGTTGCTATGATTCTGAAAGCTATGCCACCGGTATTTTAAATACCAGCAGGGTCACCCATGGGGGACAGATTTCAGATGAGCTTCCAGCCAAAGACTGACTAGGAAGAAGGAGTGACAAACTACTTCCGAATCGCTAGTCACTGAAAACCTTATGAATAGCAGAGAAACACTGTCAGATATAGTACCGGAAAATGAGCCCCTCCGGTTGGAAGGCACACAAAATGCGATTGGGGAAGAGCTGCCTCCTCAGAGTAGAGTTGACTATGATAACAAGAATGGAGTAAAGCTCGTGGGAGAAAAGCGTGCAGGACCTTCATTTGCTGATGGAGCACAACTCAAAATGAAGAGAAACAGCTGCAAACATCCATTGAAAACTGGAACATGGAATGTATGAATCTGGGAAAATTGGAAGTTATCAAAAATGAAATGGAACACATAAACATCGATATCTTAGGCATTAGTGAGCTGAAATGGACTAGTATTGACCATTTTGAATCTGACAACCACATGGTTTACTATGCTGGGAATGACAAATTGAAGAGGCATGGTGTTGCATTCATCATCAAAAAGAACATATCCAGATCAGTCATGAGGTACAACACTGTCTAGGATAATATACATGTGCCTACAGGGAAGCCCGGAGTCCTGGTGTGGCACTGTGGGTTAATGCGCCAGACTGCAAAGCCATTTGAACTGCAAGGTCAGTCAGTGATTCAAGCTCACCAGCTGCTCCTCGGAAACCCTATACAGAGTGGCTATGGGTCAGAACTGATCCGATGACATCTCATAATAACAACAGGGAAGCCCAGTTCATACCACTATTATTATTCAAATTTACACATCAACCACTAAAGCCAGTGAGGATGAAATAGAAGAATTCTACCAACTTCTTCGATCCGAAATTGATCAAACATGCAATCACGATGTATTGATCACTACTGGTGATTGGAATGCAAAGGTTGGGAGCAAAGAGGAAAGATCAGTACTTGGAAAATAAGGCCTTGGTGATAGAAATGATGCTGGAGAACGCATGACAGAATTCTGCAATACCAATGATTTCATTTCAAATGCCTTCTTTAGACAGCATAAGAGACGACTATATACATGGACCTTACCAGATGGAATACATAGAAATCAAATTGACTACATCTGCGGAAAGAGATGATGGAAAAGCTCCATATCATCAATTAAAACAAGGCCAGGGGCAGACTGAGGAACAGACCATCAATTACTC